CACGCAATCCACGCGCGTTGTGCTGGCTGGCGCGGAAGGATACGGGCTTGCGCTTTGGAGAGAGGGGGGGGGAAATCTGAGGTGGCCAGTGACGGTGCTTAGAGGCGGTGGCCGCGGGGAAGCAGGGCTATGGCGGCTGCTGCTGCTCCTGCGCTGCCGCCTGGCAGTCTGAGGGGAAATTCGGGATGGGGTGGAAATGCCCCTTCCCTCGTTTCCTCTGCTCTTGTGGTTTCCATCTGCCGGCGAATAATTGTACCACGACAAGCAGATGCCAGCACCACCCGCGCCCAAAAAAGAGGCTGTGCCACTTTGGGGTTTTGGCCAGCCAAGTGTTTTCAATCCCTCTAACATTTCCCTGATGAAAATAGGAACGCCCTATGCCAGAGGTTTTCGACTTTTGGGGTCCAATGGCTCCCCTGTCATTGCCGGATTTACGTATAAGCTAAACAAGCTATAGCTTAGGGCCCCACTCTCTTGGGGGCTCCAAAAAAAAAAATTAAAGGGAAAAAACAACAACTTTATGTACATTTCCAAAATATAAGATAAAAAACAAATAAAACCTACATAAAGCAACAGTGTTTTGTGTTGTGTAGGCTCCTATGATGGAAGTAATGGGCCCCACCTGCTAGCCTGCTCCCTAAAATATCACTGGTTTGCTCATTTCTGTATATACGGTGCCTACATTCTGCATGTGCAAATGGCTTTAGATACCTATTAGGTCCATAAATTAAGGTAAAGGGACCCCTGACCATTAGGTCCAGTCATGACCAACTCTGGGGTTGCGGCGCTCATCTCGCTTTATTGGCCGAGGGAGCCAGTGCACAGCTTCCAGGTCATGTGGTGAACCAGAGCATCGCACGAAAACACCATTTACCTTCCCGCCGGAGCGGTACCTATTTATCTAGTTGCACTTTGACATGCTTTCGAACTGCTAGGTTGGCAGGAGCAGGGACCGAGCAACGGGAGCTCACCCCGTCACGGGGATTTGAACCGCCGACCTTCTGATCAGCAAGTCCTAGGCTCTGTGGTTTAACCCACAGCACCACCCACGTCCCTTCCATAAATTACCATAGTCGCTGTTTTTTGTGTTGAATATATGCTATATGGTAAAATTTAGCATATATTCAACACAAAAAACAGTTACAATTTGTTGTTGACAAAGGACAGCTGGATATAGAGGGTGAGTCTTTTACAAGAGGCCCCGTGGAACATGTGTACTCTGTATCCAAGGAGCCTCTGTTAAAGGACTCACCCTGTATAAAGGGCCCCATTACCTTAAGTAGCTTAGGGCCTCATCAAACCTAAATATGGCCATGCCCTTGACCAAGTGCATTCTTTCTGTGGCATCCCTGTGGGGCAGTTATGCTACCCCTTGCCTGCAGAGCGGGCAGCCTCTCACCCTTTTTCAAACACCCTCCCTTGGGGAGGGTTCCCTCAGCCTCCTCTCCATGGGAGTCCTCTGGGCCAGCGCCCCTGGTCTCTGAGCTGCCCTCCCTGCCCCATAGAGAGGTGCCGCCTCGCACTGCCCCACAGGGGCCTAGGAAGCACCCCCTGGCCAACCCCAGAGGCACCATTCGCCTGGGGAGCTTGTAGCCAGGGCTGCTGTGGAAACCTTTGGGGGGCAGAGATGCAAGAGGGCATTATAGGAGGGAGGGAGGGAGGGAGGGAGGGAGGGAGGGAGGGAAGGAAGGAAAGAAAGAAAGAAAGGGCCAGAGGCCAATGTTGCCCGTGGCACCCCTGACCAAAATTCAAGGCACCCCAGGGGGCCACAGCACACTGGTTGAAAACCACTGTCCAGATTCTTCTATTATTATTATTATTATTATTATTATTATTATTATTATTATTATTACCCTGCCCATCTGACTGGATTGCCCCAGCTACTCTGGGTGGCTTCCAACATAAAACATAATAAAACATTAAACATTAAAACTTCCCTATACAGTTCAGATGTCTTCTAAAGGTTGTCTAGTCACTTAGCTCCCTGGCTTGTGGGCCACATAATTCCATGCTCTTCAACGTTTCTCTGATGAAAATAAGGACGTCCTAAGGAAAAGCAGGACATTCTGAGGTCAAATCAGAAACTGGGGTGGCTTCTGTAAATTGGACTATCCCTGGAAAATAGGGACACGGAGAGTCTGAAATACATCAAATTTTTTTCAGTGGCCAGCTTAATTACTCAACAAGGCTTTTTCTAATGCTGATTGAGTTCATGACTGCAGCCAATAATTTAATGCTGTTATGACAGAAGATCCTAAAGTGGTCAGCTGTATGAGCTAGTCATTAACCAACTTGAATCAATTCCATTTCCTTAATTAAAATATGATAGTGTCAATCCTATTTAGCTCATTTGATTTAATCAGTCTTAATTTGCCATGTGTTACTTTTCAAGACTACTGTAGTAATTTAGCATTTAGGATGGCATAGTAATGACCAGCGTTTTACAGTTTTATTGTACATCTATTGCAATTCCTAATTGCAAATGTAATGTAATGTATTTTGTTGCTGCCCCCCCCCCCACTTTTCTAGCTATGATGCTAAAATTTTGGATTGGGTGCAACGTATTGTATCAGTGCAACAAGAAGTCTGGAATGACTCAAGAAGGGCTTGGTTCAACATAATGTACTGCAGAGGCAGTCTAGGGCTGTGGCAATATGAAGTATAATCCAATCCATGCTAACCAACCCAGGACACCCTTTGCACTTGTGCAGTGCTATTTTCACAAGGGATGTTTAACTCAGGATCAACTTACCTGGAGCTAATAACCAATGACTCATACATCACACAGGATTGGCACCTCCCATGTTCCCTGGGGACAGCTTTCCACAAAACAGAAATGAATGTGGGATACAGGATGGTGAACGAGATGAATCTTTTGTCTGTTCCATCGGGATTCATGCTTTTGATTTTGACAGCAGCTGAACTGGGAGCAAATGAGCCTCTACAATATTTAGGACACATAGTCAACCAGCCCAGAAAAGGCCATCTTTTACCTATCTCTTATAGCACCCTATTTCCAGGTCAAGGTGGGTGGTAGAAGGGATTGCAGACATTGCCCAGCATTAATTCAATAACATGGGTACCTATTTGACCAAACAGACTTGCTCCTCTGCAAATGCTGATATAGCAGCACGCACATGGATATGTATGTTCTTGAGAAAACGCTTGCTTGCATCATTCATCTCAACTGATCTCTCTGTATTTGTCCACTGAATACATGTACTAAATATTTTTTGCAGCAGAATATTTTTATCCAGCCTTCCTTCCTCCTAGAGTTTAGTTTCTTTTTTAATCAGTCTTTTCCACAAGTCAATTAAATTGTAGCCATTGAGTTTAAACCAGCTTAGTTTCATGGTGTCTGGTCTGACATCTTAGTGGATAACATACTGAAGGCTGCTTCAAACACACATTAAGTCTCCTACAAGTATATTTTTTGTATAGCAAAGTACATATACATTATGCTGTGAAGGTACATCTCTCTCTCCCCCCTCCCCCGCTTTCATATGTGATGGTGTCCACACAGGACATGTGTTATCCCTTATCTGTCTTGTGAAAAGCAACCTGACAAAATTTTGTTCCTTTGTCCAAGAAAAACTTATGCAATCTTGTTGAGGTATTCTTTTCAAAAACAGTCTTGCCTCCTTTTTTCCTTCCTTCTGCACATTCATGTCTAGATTCAGTGTTATTTGCTATTTTCTGCTTTAGTACTGCGAACCTCTGTGACCTACTCTTCTTCCTTCCATCATTCAATGTCAGCCGAGGTCTGAATTGATATCCTCATTTTGTCTATAGTCTCTGGAGACCTGTCAAGAGCTTCTTCAACAAGCTGAGCTCTGCTCAACAAGATTTTCTTCCACCCAGTTTCTTTAGTGTCCTGAATTTTGAATGATAAAGCAGTGACTGCTGTTGAGCTTATTCCCCCAATTATTGTATATTCTATGTATTGTATCTGTTTCAAGCCTGTAAGTTACCTTACATTTGCCCTGCTAGCTCCACTGAACTTTTTAAACCATGTGAACTTGTCAACTTGTTCTACATACTTTCCACTGAATGGTACTTCTGCACACTTTTCCTCTTTAATTTCAGCCACTGTATTACCAGCTTTTATTATGAGACCACAGCTGTGTTATCCTCTCCATCCAGGTAGGTATATTATTGTGATGGGAGCACCATTAAGTTCTTAAAATTAACATTGCCTTCTGTGCCCCAAGATGTGGCAGCTGGGCCTTATTAGATTCTGTACATTTTGTTTAATTGATTACCACATTCATTACTTTGAATTGTATACCACCTTGGGAATTCAATCTGAACTTGCAGAGCCACTGGCTGGAGGGATTTGGATGGTGTGGAAGTGTTCCTTTGCTAGCAGAGAAAAGTGCCGCTGGGAAGGCGGATCTGTGGTGGATCTCAGCACACCCATGAAAAGCTTAGTGGGTGTAGATCTACCACTGGTGGTTTCTACTAGCAGCAGGCCCTGAAACCAAACATGTTGACATCTGTTGAGTCCAATACCCCTTCATTCTCCCATCTACTGTTGGCAGAATGCTTCTGAATAGTCGTACCTTGGTTTTTGAACAGCTTAGTTCTTGAACATTTTGGCTCCCGTAGGCCGCAAACCCGGAAGTGACTGTTCCAATTTGCGAACTATTTTTGGAAGCCAAATGTCCGAAGGGGCTTCCATGGCTTCCGATTGCCTGCAGGAGCTTCCTGCAGCCAATCTGAAGCTGCGCTTTGGTTTCCGAACATTTTGGAAGTTGAATGGACTTCCAGAACAGATTCTGTTCGACTTCCAAGGTACAACTGGACTACTTTGCTGGGAATCGCAAGTGAAAAAAGCCCTATATGCATGTGGTTGGACACTGTGGGAACAGAAGGCTGAACTAAATGGGACTTCAACCTCATTCAGCCCTTCCTTGGCTTCTGGGCTGGGGGTTTATCCCACAAGGGCCAACAGTGATGCCGAAATCCAGCATCACCTGAGCTCTGTGACTGAAGTGCAAAGTGTTTGAGGACCGTGACATTCGCAGGGAAACCCAAAATGCTTGTTTACAAAGCTATTGTACTACCAAACTTACTGTATGCTTGTGAAACATGGACCACTTATAAACGCCATCTCCAACTCCTCAAAAGATTCCATCAACGGTGTCTTCAAAACAATTTACACATCACTTGGGAAGGCAGGCAAACTAATGCCAGTGTACTGGAAGAAGCAAAGATCACCAGTGTCGAAGCAACGATTCTTCAATGTCAACTTCGTTGGACTGGTCATGTTGTTCGGATGCCCGATTATCGTCATCCAAAGCAACTTCTCTATTCCGAACTTAAAAATGGAAATTTTTAAAGTGTAACGCTGGGGATCAACAAAAGAGGTTTAAAGACTCTCTCCATGCAATTCTTTAAAAATGTAGTATAAATACAGACGACTGGGAAACACTGGCCTGCGAGCGCTCCAATTGGAGAACAGCCTTTACCAAGGGAACATTCACAACCTCTCTATAGTTTCTAATTTGACTGAAGTGGTACAGAAATCAAAATTGTTCCTGAAATAATGTGTTTTGTTAAATCTGGCCTTATCTTTAAATTTTGTGCATCACTTTATGCAAAAAGCAAAATGTATTATTATTTTTTGAACATGGAGATAGAAAAGGGAAGCACAGTTCTTAATTTGGCAGCAGGCTTCTTGCCTCTAGAAATATATTATAATTGGGAGCAGGAGGGTAATTGCTTTAGGGATTTTGTGTAGAAAGCTGAGTTGCTGGCTCATATCAGACTCCTGAGCTTGAATAACTTTTTAATACATATTCCTGCCTAACACATTAGCAAAAAGAAAAACTCTCATGCATGCAATTGGTGTACTTCTAAAACAGCTTGCCTATTTAGTGTTAGACATAAAGATCCGCCACGCTGATTGTTTCTGCAATTATTTGGGTTTCGATTCATTCATCTTCAACTACTTTGCGTTTCTTATCATTTGAATTGATCTAAAGGAGTTTCATCAGTTCACTTTTTGGGAGGGGATTGTAGTATAGTAACAAAGGGAAAGATTAGAATGTGAGCGCTAAGCTTGTATTCAGTTAAGAGTCTTCCCTTTCATACTGCTTAAAACTGAAAAAGCAACACAGTTAATTCAGGCCCATTGCCATTTTTGTAAAGTATGGAAATCCTAACAAAAACACATTTATATAAATAGATTGGAACTGGAAAAAAATGAAAATGAAGCATTAACAGAAGGGATTGTTACAAATGTGCTTTACATCTGATGATCGCATTGTATTTGTACAATTCTTACTTATACTAAATGGAAATCAGATTATCTTCTAGCTTTTCCTTATAACCATAATGAAATGAATGGGGGAAATCCATTAAAACAGAACCACTGAACAGCCTGCAGCAGGACAGCAGGATGTAACTGTTTAAATAAAACAGTGTAGGCATGATCCAGTCAAACATAAGCACTTTTAAGTCCCATGCTTAACTCTATTCCACTAGAGTCAACACGACTCTTAACTTTGGCTAAATAGTGCCACAAGTATTTTCTTCATACCTTGGGAATAAAACAACACATCATGGAGATATAAACTGGTATGCTGATATGCATAATATACAATTACCATTAAGAATAGAAACTATTTGTAGAAATGTATTATTATTTGACTCGGTCATTATTCAATAATAACTTGAGTCTCATTTTTATTGACTCAAAGTCTGGAGTTCTCCCAACCAACAGATCCGCTGTTCCATAACATGATATTTCAGGGAAAGTTTGTACATCATTAAAGAGGGGCATATTTTCCTCATAACTAATCTGGGAGTTTCTCTGCTCAGAATTTCCCATATATTCCTGAGCCACAAAATTGTAAACATACCATAAGTGAGAGCTGGACCATAAAGAAGGCTGATCGCCGAAGAATTGATGCTTTTGAATTATGGTGCTGGAGGAGACTCTTGAGAGTCCAGTGGACTGCAAGAAGATCAAACCTATCCATTCTGAAGGAAATCAGCCCTGAGTACTCACTGGAAGGACGGATCCTGAAGCTGAGGCTCCAATACTTTAGCCACCTCATGAGAAGAGAAGACTCCCTGGAAAAGACCCTGATGTT